GAGGAGGAGGAGGAGGAAGAGGAAAAGAAGAGGAGGAGGAGGAGAAAGAAGAAGAGGAGGAGGAGAAAGAAGAAGAGGAGGAGGAAGAGAAAGAAGAAGAAGAGGAGGAAGAGGAGGAAAAAGAAAAAAGAAGAAAAGAAGAGGAGGAAGGAAAAGAAAAAGAAGAGGAGAAGAAGAAAGAAGAAGAGGAGGATGAAGAGGAGGAAGAGGAAGAAAAAGAAAATGAAGAGGAGGAGGAGAAAGAAGAAGAAGAGGAGAAAGAAGAAGAAGAGGAGGAGGAGAAGGAAGAGGAAGAAGAAGAGGAGAAGGAGAAAGAAAATGAAGAGGAGGAGGAGGAGAAAGAAGAAAAAGAGGAGGAACAGGAGGAAAAAGAAAAAGAGGAGAAAGAAGAAGAGGAGAAGAAGGAGGAGGAAGAAGAGGAGGAGAAAGAAGAAGAAGAAGAGGAGGAGGAGGAGGAGGAGAAAGAAGAAGAGGACGACGAAGAGGAGGAGGAGAAAGAATAAGAGAAAGAGGAGGAAGAAAAAAAGAAGAAAAGAGGAGGAGGAGGAGAAGGAGGAGAAGGAAGAGATAGAAGAAGAGGAGGAGAAGAAGGAGGAGTTGGAGGAGAAAGAAGAAGAGGAGGAGAAGGACTTAGCCTTCCTGGATTTTGAAGTCATTCGTTTGAACGGGACACTCAAAGGAGAAATGTTGAGAAAGAAGTCAAATGGCGGAAAAATAGTCGATTTGGATGAAGGACAAAAGGTGAATGCGCAGTCTTCGGGGCCGTAGGACGACGATGAGCCGAGGCGTTTTTCGCACAATTTTGTGGACAACATTCTAGAACAACTCCAAGTCGGTATCTGCTGGTGCTGATCTACTAATCTTTTCGACACGCCCTCTCAAACCAAATTAAACTTATGCCAGTACCAATAGTTTTTCCATTTCACCACGCTCTTCACAAATGCCATGTGGACGAGGCGTATTCATGTGGTTGTGGGCAAGCTGGTCCATCAATTCTTCCACACTTTGTGCCCTCAGAGCCAAGCTCTCGTTTGACATTCTCAGAACGCAACCGCATTCCGAGAACGACGTCATTTGGACTCACGGACACGTCTTTAATCGTCTCTCTTCGTTGACTTGTTGTCACCTCGTCGGAGTGATGGAAATGATGAACAACTCGGACGAGTTCTGTCAAGCGGTTGTTTCCAAGACTGCCTCACCAGGAACGCATGAACATGCTCCAAATGGTCCAAAACACTGACAATCCACCGTCGCCTTTGGCCCAGTTGGACATGCGCCAACACACACCTTCAACTCACAAATCCGGATTGGTTGAAGGGTCCGCAGTTGACAGTTTCCAAAGTCACGACGCTGGGAAGACGAGTTGTCTGGAAAATAGAAGAGAATGCATAAAAAATACGTGATTTGATATGAAAGCAAATGAGAAAGCAATTCCGAGGTCGAGCCCACCGGAAGAGGTCGGCTCAAGTCCGCGCGAAAACGGGCCCAGCTTGCGTCCATCATTCGCGTCTTTTGCTAGTACTTCAACGTACTACTTATTTTCACAGTGAGTAGATTTGAATAAGTGTTTTATTTATTTGAGCTCGTCAAAGTCGCGCGTTAACAAACGCCAAGTCGAGAAGTCTATCCGGCTCTATCTCATCTCTAATACAGACTGACAACTAACAACGGCGGTGAACGGATAAGCAAATCGTCACAGAAAGTCGACATTATCGCCAAACTGTAGCAGACATCCACTTGACATGACGCAGACGAGCAGGGATGGGCTTCCACAGTTTGTTCTGGTTACTCGGGTCCGATCAAGAAGACGATCCGTGAAGGCAATGTCTGAGATCTGCAATCATGCCAATCACAGTCTCGACGCTCGGCTCGGCGAGGCGACATTGTATGTGTTTCTAGGGCCTTGAGGGCAATGAATGCACACTGGGACTGGGAACGAGTGAAACCGGTCAACCGGAAAGATGAGAAACTGATCTACTCGATCATGATCGAGATCCGGATTGGAGGCCCAGTCGGGATGAATAGCAGGTGTGATGAGGCCACAAGAAGGCACACATTTTGACGAATGGAATGTGAACAAGTGAGAAGTTGTGATGTGGCGGAGGTGGGATAAAAGGGAAAAGAGTGGATAGATAGGCCAGGACAGAAAGAGGACTGATTGTGTAACCGTTTTGGGCAGAACGTTTGTCGAGTGATTGATCTCACTTGTTTCTATGGCGAGTTTGTAACTTGGTGTGAGGAATTGCAAGACTCAGATATTGTTGAGCTTACTT